ATGTTGTACTTCTGAGATCATTATTGTGGGCCAATGTTGTACTTCTGTTGTCATTATTGTGGGCCGATGTTGTACTTCTGTTCTCATTATTGTGGATCAATGTTGTACTTTTGAGATCATTATTGTGGGCCAATGTTGTACTTCTGAGATCATTATTGTGGACCAATGTTGTACTTCTGAGATCATTATTGTGGGCAAATGTTGTACTTCTGAGATCATTATTGTGGGCCAATGCTGTACTTCTGAGATCATTATTGTGGGCCAATGTTGTTCTTCTGTTGTCATTATTGTGGGCCGATGTTGTACTTCTAAGATCATTATTGTGGGCCAATGTTGTACTTCTGAGATCATTATTGTGGGCAAATGTTGTACTTCTGAGATCATTATTGTGGGCCAATGCTGTACTTCTGAGATCATTATTGTGGGCCAATGTCGTACTTCTGAGATCATTATTGTGGGCCAATGTTGTAGTTCTGTTGTCATTATTGTGGGCCGATGTTGTACTTCTAAGATCATTATTGTGGGCCAATGTTGTACTTCTGAGGTCATTATTGTGGGCCGATGTTGTACTTCTGTTCTCATTATTGTGGGTCAATGTTGTACTTTTGAGATCATTATTGTGGGCCAATGTTGTACTTCTTTTGTCATTATTGTGGGCCGATGTTGTACTTCTGAGATCAATATTGTGGGCCAATGTTGTACTTCTGAGATCATTATTGTGGACCAATGTTGTACTTCTGAGATCATTATTGTGGGCCGATGTTGTGCTTCTCAGATCATTATTGTGGGCCAATGTTGTACTTCTGGGATCATTATTGTGGGCCAATGTTGTACTTCTGAGGTCATTATTGTGGGCCGATGTTGTACTTCTGTTCTCATTATTGTGGATCGATGTTGTACTTTTGAGATCATTATTGTGGGCCAATGTTGTACTTCTTTTGTCATTATTGTGGGCCGATGTTGTACTTCTGTTGTCATTATTGTGGGCCAATGTTGTACTTCCGTTGTCATTATTGTGGGCCGATGTTGTACTTCTAAGATCATTATTGTGGGCCAATGTTGTACTTCTGAGATCATTATCGTGGGCCAATGTTGTACTTCTGAGATCATTATTGTGGACCAATGTTGTACTTCTGAGATCATTATTGTGGGCAAATGTTGTACTTCTGAGATCATTATTGTGGGCCGATGTTGTACTTCTGTTGTCATTATTGTGGGCCAATGTTGTACTTCTGTTGTCATTATTGTGGCCCGATGTTGTACTTCTGAGATCATTATTGTGGGCCAATTTTGTACTTCTGAGATCATTATTGTGGGCCGATGTTGTACTTCTGTTGTCATTATTGTGGGCCAATGTTGTACTTCTGAGATCATTATTGTGGGCCAATGTTGTACCTCTGTTGTCATTATTTTGGGCCAATGTTGTACTTCTGAGATCATTATTGTGGGCCAATGTTGTACTTCTGAGATCATTATTGTGGGCCGATGTTGTACTTCTGAGATCATTATTTTGGGCCAATGTTTTACTTCTGAGATCATTATTGTGGGCCAATGTTGTACTTCTGAGATCATCTAGTGACTTGCTACCTTCCACGATGAAACCCAGCAGAACTACACTGAGTGCTGCACGTCAGTCTCTGTATGGCATTTGTCGAGCCTGGTTATTACGGTAAATAAAACAACAACCAGCATGTGTCACAACAGCAACTGGAAGTCATTAGGCTGATATCAGTGCAGCTCCGTCAGGCTGATATCAGTGCAAATCCGTCAGGCTGATATCAGTGTAGCTCCGTCAGGCTGATATCAGTGTAGCTCCGTCAGGCTGATATCAATGTAGCTCCGTCAGGCTCTAGGTAGAATACCTGAAAAAGTCTGTGTAACAAGTGTTACTCTGGGTAGCTATGTGTTACTCTGTGTAGCTATGTGTTACTCTGTGTAACTATGTGTTTCTCTGAGTAGCTATGTGTTACTCTATGTAATTATGTGTTACTCTGGGTAGCAATGTGTTACTTTGGGTAGCTATGTGTTACTGTGTGTAACTATGTGTTACTTTGGGAAGCTATGTGTTACTCTGGGTAGCTATGTGTTACTCTGTGTAACTATGTGTTACTCTGGGTAGCTATGTGTTACTCTATGTAACTATGTGTTACTCTGTGTAGCTATGTGTTACTCTGGGTAACTATGTGTTACTCTGTGTAACTATGTGTTACTCTGGGAAGCTATGTGTTACTCTGGGTAGCTATGTGTTACTCTGTGTAACTATGTGTTACTCTGTGTAACTATGTGTTACTCTGGGTAGTTATGTGTTACTCTTGGTAGCTATGTGTTACTCTGTGTAACTATGTGTTACTCTGTGTAGCTATGTGTTACTCTG